CAGATGAGTTCGACAGCCTGGATCAATCGATATGAATGGGTATTATAAAAACTTTCAAGAAATTTCAAAATGTTCAAAATAAAAAGAAAGTAATTTAAAAAAAATGCTAAGTTTTCAAAAAGTTTCCTTAAAATATCAGTATCTTTAACAGAGGCAATTTTCTCAATATTCAAATTCTTTATTATTTATTATTTCCAGATTTGTAACTTAAAAAAAAATTACGAACTATCTTACCTTAGCGATTCTGAAGCAGGCTAGCCCAAACTAGTCCCATTTTCACAGTCATGGACAAGCTCGACATCAGACATTATTGTTGTCAAAATTCCACTTGAAATTACAGATCTCAAATATAGCCTTTTGTGAAAATTGTCCATCGTGGGTATAGCTGCAAAAATAAAATAAATAAAAAGTCAGCAAAAATTCGAGTGTAGTTAATTAGCCGCAACAGGATTGGACAACTACTAGGTGGCCATCCATTCAAGAAGTCATATAATATCGTAAGCACATTTACCAAATGTCTTTGTGTGACAGATTGCAATTGAAAAAATCTTACCTATATATTATATATAAATAAATTAAACACTTACATGTTCCTCATTGCTTTTAGCAAACAATACACTATCCAAATCCATTCGAAAAGCAATTCTTATGACCACAAATCACACCAGAAATAACACTATATTGCATGTGCATCTTTTCTGTAATGGCGGCGATCAATATAAAATAGTTGACGAATAATTCAGATGATCTTGCACGAATAGTCAAATTTATTATGACGTAGATATGCCCAAATTCTAATATACTAGCGACATTAATTCATACTATCGACACCTGAACCATACCTGAACCAATAATCGATATTTGCTATTAAATCGAAGTTATCGATTTATTCATTCTGTAGTTGGCTATGATAAAAGATTTTAAATCTATTATGTTAATACTATTATGTCTTCGAAGAAACATTGCACGTGCGTTTATGTATATTAAATATTTTTTTCTTTTAAGTTGTAAAATGTATTGAAAATTATTATAGTCAACACATAAGTGAAGAAACGAAAACAATTTAGAAAAAAAAATTATATTTGAATTATATTATATATATATATATATATATATATATATATATATATATATTGTATGATTCTAAATTTGATGTTGACATATGTATTAACAAAGTCTAGTAATCGGGAAATTACTACCCGATTACTAGACTTTGTTAATATTTGAGTTAAAAAGTCGGGCGTTACATCTAAAAAATAGTATGATAGTTTTTAGAAATTTATTTAAAATCCATACGTTTCGGCTCGCATCTTAGCTTTCATTCAGTTGCAACCAATTTAACTATAAAAATTAAAACTAAATAAATAATAGGTCAGAAATTTCATAGAAAATAGAAAAATAATAATAGTAATAATAATAATAATAATAATAATAATAAAAACACTTACCATTTTACATTTTAATTAAATTTTTAAAAACTCTCATACTATTTTTATTGATGTAACGCCCGATTTTTTAACTCAAATTAAATATGTTATATATTATATAAATTAAATATATAATATATTAAATATATTATATATTATATTATATATTCAAATATTATATATATATATATATATATATTATATTATATTTATATAAATACATTAATATTATTAATGCATATTGATGAAATACAAATAGTTATAAACATTTTGATGGAATTACCTTATTTATTATTTGTACAATATTTATTTTTCTTTTCATCATGTATAATTTTCTATATATATATATATATATATATATATATATATATATTAATTGGTTATGTATATATAATTAGGCATAGCTAATAATAATATTATTTTCATTGAAAGTGTTAATATATTTTTATTGAAATTTTCCGATGTTAATCGATTTCTGGATTTTTTTTAGCATATTCAATGTTGGTTAAATTTGGCAAATCAATATATTTTTTTGTATTGTTTAACATGAAATACTTCAGAGAAACTTTTTTGTAAATATTTAGAGAAACATTTTTGTAAATATTTAGAGAAACATTTTGTGTACAATTTAGTTATATTCATATCAATGATTAATAATATTATTAATAATAATGCAAACTAATAAAATACGACTGGTTGTAAACTTTTTGTTAGATAGAAAATAATAAAAAAATAATTTTACCTTATTTATTATTTGTATAAAATTAATTATTATATATAATTTTCAATTATGAAATGTGGTATATATAGTAAAGAATATAAAATTAACTAATAGTAATATTATTTTTATTTAAAGTGTTAATATATTTTTACTGAAAAATTCCGATGTTAATTGATTTTCAGTATTTTTTAGCATATACTGTATCTTTATCATTTATATTTTTAATTTTTATAAAATTGTTATATTTTTTTTTAATTGAATAAGGTGATACAACTGGGAATTATAGTATGTAATTATTAAAATTTAATATATAACTACAATATTTTTTATACTATTTCCAAATAATAATTTATATTACGAAAGTACAAGATTACTTACAGGGCCATGTCTGGGTATAGTATATGGACGCCTGCGTGCAAACATATATTTGACTGTCCTTCAAAATAAAATGATAGAAAAATATCAAAATTAACTTTTAGACTTTATGATGTAGAAGATCATGCTTTTATGAAAAAATCGACTGGACAAATCGGAATGGATGGTCTTTCAAAGTCGATGAATTTTGAAGAATTTAAGCTCTTGTAATTTGTTATTGGTTGTTACTCAATGCACTATCTGCATTGAGAAGTTTAGAAAATATATATATATATATATATATATATATATATATATATATATATATATATATATATATATATATTCTGCCAGATTTTACGAGTCTCTGATTATTACCCTGAAATTGCATTAAAACTATCATTTATAATATCTCTCAATAATTAACAATTGCTGTAGCAATACTCAAAATCAATTTTCTCATATACAGAAGCTAAGCACTTGCACAGTCAACAATTTTAATCCCGAAACAATTCTGATTAGATAACAATAAATACATTTTATTATCATCTGGCAACAATTTAAATTTTTGGGGCATTTTTCACAGTATATAAGTCGCCCCACAAATGATATCACATCATTGTGTATTTTGGAGCTCGAGGCGACCTTACAGAGGTGAGTGTTTAAGGAATAATTTGTATTATGTAACAACTTTATTTATTTAGTTTCAAATAGGTGATATGTTTTTGTTTTGATTGTTTGACCAATGTATTTGTTTTGCTTGTTCCAGGATTTCATACAAGGGCGTGCAACTACGGAAACTTATTGTGCATTAGTTTTGTGATATTATTCTATCTATGTTTTTAATAATTTGATTTTAAATTTACAAATTTTATATTTACTTATTTTTATTATTCGGGGTTATTTGTGTCCATGCTTTTTATTTTTCTTTTCCGTTTATGCGAGGACTTTAATTCGAAATTTTTATTGTTGATCGTTCATCGTATGTTTTATCGTTTAAAACGATTTTTAAAGCCGGGTTTGCGCGTTTATAATACGTTCCTATCGCCTACCCCCCACGATAGGTTCCAGTAGTTCGCGATTTAATATTAAATTAATTTAATATATTAGTTTTTTGTTCTTACTTGCCTGTGTATGGTTGCTTGCAAAGTTTTCCCAGGGCGGAGCAACGCCATGCACATTAATTTTTAATTAGTACTATATGTACAAATAATGTACAATATTTTGTTTTTATTATGTTTACTATTAGTATGTTACGGCATACATGGATGCAAATAACTCATCTAAAAATCTAAAATCCGATTTGTGTATTAAATTACTTATATTTACTTTGATGATTTTTTTTGTTATTATTTAATGGACGCGATTTGATCAATTGAATTAAAATTTTTCGTGGTTGCACAATAGGTTTCCCTGGACGGAGAAATATGGAAAATGAAGTATTTGATGTTAAGAAAACAGGTATGAAATTACAAAATCTATAATTAAATTTATAATTAATAAAATATACATTTATTTCAGTGTAACCAGCCTACACAACTGATACCAGGAATATAATTACCAAGACCTACTACTACAACCGATAGGAGTATATGTGCACCAGCCCTGTTTCATATACCAGGACACTAGAATGGGCCAAATTACCACCAGGAAGAGGTTATGTAGAGGTTTTTTCGTATCAATTACAATTAGACCTAAGTTAGTTATAAGTGTATAATTTTTAAATATTATTACCGGGGCCCCGTTTGTATGCTAATCCCTATTTTTAGGGGCATTTGTGTTTTTTTTTCTCGTTTCAGATACATTTTCAAGAAGATTTGCGCACTCAAGACCACCAGAAGTCCAAAAGTTAGGCACGCTATTATTAAATTGATTACATATATTAATAAATCATTTTTGTTTCAGAGTTGTCCACAACTTTCCAAAAAGAGTACCAGAAAACCTGCTCAGGACCAAATAGGACGAACAGAAGACCACTATCAAATTGGACAATACGTGCAAAAAGTGAAGTGAAAGTTATACTATAATTATATTATATTATTATTATTATTAGATATTTATTTATATTATATCATAATTAATGAAATAAATATCCATTTTAGTGTGACCAGCCTCCATAATTGATATCAGAGTCATAATTCCCAAGACCTACTACTACCAACCAATAGGAGAATGGGTGCACCAGCCCTGTTTCATCTACCAGGACACTAGAATTGGCCAAATCACCACCAGGAGCAGGTTATGTAGAAGTTTTTCCGTATTAGATACAATTATACATAAGTTAGTTATGAGTGTCTTATTTTTAAATATTATTACCGGGGCCCCGTTTGTATGCTAATCCCTATTTTTTAGGGGCATTTGTGTTTTTTTTATTTTGTTTCAGATATTATTTCAAGAAGATTTCCACAAAAGTGCGCACTCAAGACCACCAGAAGTCCGAAAGTTAGGCACGCTATTATTAAATTCATTAAATATATTAATCAATCAATTTTTGTTTCAGGGTTGTCCACAACTTTCCAAGAAGATTACCAGAACACCTGCTCAGAACCAAATCGGACGAACAGAAAACCACTACCAAATTGGACAATACGTGCAAAAATGAAATGAAGTGAAAGGGTGAGACTTTAGTTATATTGTGTTATTATTATTAGACCACCAGAAGTCCAAAAGTTAGGTACACAATTATTAAATTGATTAAATATATTAATAATAATCAATTTTTATTTCAGAGTTGTCGATAGCTTTCCAAGAAAATTACCAGAAAACCTGCTACCAGGACCAAATAGTACGACCAGAAGACATCTACCAAATTGGACAATACGTGCAAAAATGAAATGAAGTGAAAATGTGAGACTTTAGTTATATTTCGTTATTATTACTAGACCTATACCAGAAGTCCAAAAGTTAGGCATATTATTATTTAATTGATTAAATATATTAATCAATCATTTTTTGTTTCAGGGGGTTGTCTACAACTTTCCAAGAACATTACCAGAAAACCTGCTCAGGACCAAATAGGACGACCAGAAGACCACTTCCAAATTGAACAATTCGTGCAAAAATGAAGTGAAATGAAAGTGTGAGACTTTGATTGTATTATATTATTATTATTAGATATTAACTTACATTATATTATTAATATTGTATTATATTAGTCATCAGTTAGGATTTTATTAACGGGCATTTTCACGTGGTTTTAATCTCCGGTCGTACCTTTTTTTGGGGGGTTGCTCGCGTATTTTTTATCAGAGCTCAAAGAGGGTGGCGTGTGAAAGGACCTTTCTTTTATTTTCCGCGCTTTTCTTCAAAACTGTAACTAATAATTACAAATCACTACATGATTTGTCCTTAAGCTTCATAGGCTGGGAACCTATGAAGTTTTTTTCAGTGTTTACATGGTGGATCGAGGGGGGTACATCATGTAAATACTTTTTTTTTGTAAATTTACGATCACCGTTTCAATGCTAAAGTATAATTTTTATATTAATTTTCTTTCTCACGAGAGGTTCTTTCGCTTGTAAAAATCGAAATTGTTGGGTTAACATAAGGTCATGTCGCGGGATGGTTTATTTCGCGTTACATTTGTGTCAGTCAGATATAATTAGCTTATAAGTTAAAGATAATTAGTCTATAAGTTAGGTATAATTAGTTTATAAGTTAGAGATAATTAGTCTATAAGTTAGGTATAATTAGTTTATAAGTTAGTTTGACAAGAGCTTGAACTAATATCTATTATTATTGATTACGGCTTGCTTATGATTAAATAAATAAATAAATTAGGTGGATTAGGGCTGCACAATTGTGTGGCGACACCACATTAAAAAAAACGCGCCCGGCAACTCTACCTCCTGGGTGGTGTGGAAAGGAGTTGCATCTTATTATAAGTATAATAGTCATGATTAAAATAATTAGATAATTATTTTAATTAATATACGTAAATGTATCAGTTTATGTTGCACTAATAAACTTGTATCGAAAAGTCTTGAAAATAAAAAAAAATCAAACTAATCTATGCTTTTTAATTTGTTACTATTCTATTTTTTTTACAGAAATTTATAATAATAATTAAAATTTTAAGTTGGCTAGTACTTCACTGAATTTTATACTCAAATCAACTGAAAATTATTTAATTTAACAATTAACAAAAAAAGAATTCTAGTTATAAGTATAATTATCAGTATCAAAATATTTAGATTATTATTTTAATCAATTTACATAAAATTATCTGCATATGTCAATATTGATTACAATATAATGCAGAAATGCCTTGAATAATAAAAATTAACAAATCAATCTTCGCAATTCAACTTGTTGAATACCTATCAGTTACAGTTACATAAGTATGTAAAAAAACTTTTTTTTTCAGAATAAATTAGTATTAATTATCAACGATTGAAACTTTGAATTAACAGTGAAATATAGCAGTTAGTACTTCTTTAGAGTTTATACTCTTAAATCAATTGAAAATTGTTTATTGAAAAAAGTTGTATACCAGTATAATTAACAGTATCAAAAAAATTAGATCATTATTTTAATTAATTTACATAAAAGTATCTGTAAATGTTAATATTGATTACAAAATCATGTAGAAATACCCTAAATAATAAAAATTAGCAAATCAAACTTTGCCATTTAACTTGTTGAATACATGTCAGTTACAGTTACATAAGTTTGTAGAAAACTTCATTTTTTTTCAGAAAAAATTAATATTAATTATCAATGATTGAAATTTTGAATTAACGGTGAAATATAGCTGCTTGTATTTTACTGGATTTTATACTCTTAAATCAATTGAAAATTATTTAATTTATTAATCCATGGAAAAAGTTGTATTCTAGTTATAAGTATAATTAACAAAGTAATTATACTTATAACTAGAATACAACTTTTAAGAAGAAAGAAATATATAAATAATTTAAAATATTTAAGAACTAGAATAAAGAAAAAAGAATAATTGATATTTTTTAAATAAAGTATTGACACAGCACTTTTCACAGAGCATAAAAATTTTAATTCAAGTTGGTTTAATTGACTCATTTAATTTGCAAAACTGAGTTTGTTGATCCGAATCCTCTAGTGTCGATTTGAATTGGTAATGGAAAAACCTACAAACACGTATAACCATTATTTGTGAAACTTTATTAATCGTATATTTAAATATAAACAATTTCACTCCATCAACAATTATTTATTTCCACAGCTTTCTACGAAATCTCCATAAAGGCAATGATTCTTTGCATAAATTATGTTTAGAATCTTCTTAGTCATCGTCCCATAATACGCTGATATGTGTAATTGCGCCTGCGATGATTCCACGGACTGTTATTGGTTTTGTTAGAATTCCATTGGCGATTTTATTTACGGCTCATTATTTTCTGTCATTAATTCAAGCCAAGTTAATTCAATATAATTAACTAGGAAAGCACGGCCAATATGTTTATCATAATGTAATCACGTTCGCGATAATGCGAATTATAATTATATCTATACACATAATCCGACTTGGAGGATGTATAAGCAAGTATATAAAAGCTGGTGTGTACGTGTGGAATGGAAAAATGTACGGACACAGATTCTAAAACTTGATGGAAATTTGAATATTCTACACAAATTCTGGTGAAAACCACTCTTTTTTATATTAATAATAGTGGCAGTATCCAAATTGATGAGAAATAGTGTGAAAAGTGCGGAAAACAAATAAATATAAAACTCGATTTTTGCTATGCCAAACTACGTACTGATCTACCCATAGATGTAATTAGAACCCTTATTATTTTGAAAAATACTGATATTTTTTTTATAAAAAAAGATCAAAACTATTATTTCTAGAATACAATTAATAGATCTAACATATTAATCATTAATAAGTTGTTCCACCATATTATTTAAAATAGGTGTGTGTATGTATGTGTATATGTAGTCTATGTAATGTACTTTGTTTATAATTTTATGTATATTTGAGTTTCTTTTTATTCTTTATTATACTAAAATTAAAATATAAGTTAGTACACTAATAAAAGGTGAACCACTGGGTTTTCCTTTTAAAATTTAATATGTTATTTGTAAAACTAATTACTCAATGTCTTTCTATTTAGACAGATTGTAATTTATAAGAAAAAAAAAACTATTATTTATTTAATCGCATAAATGCAATACACTGTTCCTTATTTTTATATACATATAATGTAAAATATCTAATGAAGAAGTATAAAACCCAAAAGTAGACTTATGTAATAATCCACCATTATGTATATTGAAATCCACATGTTACATATTGAGTTATATCTAATTTGAAAACGTCGATAAAAGATCTAATTTTAACACTCTTTCAAAATAACGCAACTAATTTTTTCAAACTTTGATGAATTTTAAAAATTAAACGACTTGTTATAGGGCCGTAATATTTCAGTAGGATCTAGAAGACCATGATGTCTAAAGCCAAAAAAAAAGTTTCATAAAAATTTTCGATTTTTTTTGGTGAAGAAAATGAAAATTTCTGCGCGACTAAAACCAATAAAAATGTGTTTGTGTCAGTTTTTGAAAGTCAACGACAGAGGAAACAGAAAAGAATTTTTAAAAAAAACCTAATTCTTCAAAACTTTTAGATATGATTTTATGTCATCATTAGAAACAAACTGAAGAAAAAATAATATAATATACAATAATAATATGCAATAATAATAATAAATTCTAGATGCATTATACTAACACGTAACACTGGTAAAACTGGTTACAGTTACAGTTACAGTTAATTGTTGTTGAAATTTGTCATTTTTTGGTCATATGTCATTTGTGAAATGGACAGACTTGTGCATATTAGTCATTTATAAATTTGTTTCACACATTTATGGGCCGATTCTGCCGTAAAATGAACCAATGTTATGGCAAGACTCTGTTTCATAGCAGTTTTTATACAAAATGGTACTAAATACTGTTAAAATGCCATATATTTGCGGTACAATCACGCGTTTTGCACATATAATGCAAACTTCACTCATATGTTATTAAACTATATCACAAAGATCAATAGTTCTTTTGACATTTGTACGTTTTCTATGTTAGGTGTTCTATCTAACGCCTGATACTTCTTCTCTCCTTAGTTTCTACTTTCGACCAAATAAAAGACTTCTCCCACAGATTGAGATACCACAATTTTTTCTTTACATTCATCGAGCATTGCGAAAACTTGATGGAAATAATCGCGAACATGCATTATGTTAATTAGAGTCGAGTCCCTCTCGATACAAAGCGTCATGTTATAAATTGGAAAAGTTACACCGCGTCATCTGCGCCTGATGCCGATCCTGATGCTGATGCTGATGTAGCTCTCTGTACCAACACCAGACTCTGCTTTATTTATGACGATATTAGCCAGAGAATTCCTGTTGGATTTAATTAATTGATGTTGCGCACATAGCAATGCAACTGTCTTTCTACATATGCATTAACTGTTCGTAAAATATGCAAATAGAAAATGAACGACGGAGAGGTAAGGAGAGATTTTTGCATGGAACTAGTTTTGTTTATTGATTCCGCAATGGGTTTGAAAATCGAGAAGGAGCATTGACACGATTGATGAATTATGGTAATATAATATTAATAATTTTATATGAATATATTATAATATATTATAATGAAACAGCTCTCATAACTACGTATTCTATAAGTTTATATGATGAACATTTCTCAATCTAGTGTTCCAGAATCCAGATGTTGGCGCTGGTTATATTTCCAACAGTGCTATTCTAATAGACTATTTATATTTAATATCATATTTGAGATTAAAATAATCTCAAAAACAATTCTAACATCAATACCTATTTTTCGAAATTTGAATATAAACTTGAAACTCATAACAAAATATAAACTTAACTAGCGATCAAGAGTTTGGGGGATTTATTTTACATGAAGTTATTATACAAAGATATATATTAAAATAAACGTTCAGATTTTTAATTTTTTGATAATTATAGTAACTTGATTATGATTAATTTGGAAGAATGTTTGTGTGATCATCGAGAATATTTAGC